TACAAAATACATTAAAAAATTTTTTTAAAAACAACAAACCCCACAGCATTTGAAAAGTGGAAACAAGCTCTAGATAGGTTAAAGATGTTAGTTGTAATATTCTATAACCAAAAAGGATTAGTATCCAGATTATTTAGAAGTTCTAGAAATTAATTTAAAATAATACAATCTAGGGGCTGGTGAGATAGCTCAGTGATCTAAAGCAGCCACATAGGCAGGTGGAGGGGCCTGCAGTTCAATCCCCAGCACCACATGCTGCCCTAGCCCCACTCTCAGGATGGGCTGAGCTGGCAAAAAAAAAAAAAAAAAAAAAAAAAATCTAATAGAAAATGGGCAAAAGATATGATTAGGCAATTCATTGATAAGGAATCATAAGTCACTAAATATGAAAAATGATTAATCTTACTAATAATCATGGACATATAAAACAACCAGGAGAAACCATTTACAACAGATTATTTTTATAATCCCAAAATGCCCAAGATTGGCAAAGATATAGAGCAACAGAATATACATTTCCACCAGATGTATATATTTTTCAATGACTTTGGAAAGCACTTTGGCATGATCTGTAGAATGGACAGTGTGTATGGACCCAGTAATGTTCCCTACAGTGCGGGTGAAGACAAACAGAAGGATGTCAACAGCACTGTTGTAGCCTCGAACAACTGCACACATTTGGTCTGCTTTCCTCCGACCCTCCTTTTCTTACTTTTTTTTTTTGGCAGAACAGAAGATTGAACTCAGGCCCTTGTACAAGACAAGCTCTTATTCTACTGAGCTATCTCCCTGGGCCCTTTCTTTCTTACTTTTGATGGTACTGGAGGTTGAACCCAAGAGGCACTGAGCTACAGCCCCAGTACTTTTATATTTTTATCGTGAGATAGGGTCTTGCTAAATTCGTCAGGCTAACTTTGAACTTTTGAATCTTAAGCTTACTTTAAATAATAATTACCAAGGGGAAATAAAAATTGTGGTTCATTGTTTTATGTTATGTGCTGAATTGTGTCTTCCTAAAATTCATGGTGCAGTCCTGGTACTTCAGAAAATTTGGAGGTAGGGATGTTTTAAAATCACTTATTATTTATTTATTTTCTTATTTATTTCGTACAGAGTCCCACTACACAGCTCGGACTCATACTGATCTTCTTGTCTCAGCCTCCCCAGCACAATGTGGCCCAGCTGGCACAGCATGCTGTACTGGGAAATCAACCTGGATCCTTGTCTTGCCAGGCAGGCGCTTAGACCACTGAGCCAGCCCAGCGGTAGGGACTTCAATGAGGTGATTATAGTGAAATGCAGTCATATGAACAGGCCCTAACAGTATGATCTGTGTGCTTATAAGAAAATATTGAGACAGACAACATATGGCAAATGTTGTGTGTTATGAGTCAGTGCCGAAAGAAATGATGAATGTAGCTTCAGAGGTCTCACTGAGATTAGTCTCTCTCAAAGTGAGCCCAGAACCACTGAAACATCTCACATTTCTTGAAGGCTAAAGGCAGGCTAAGGAATGTGCATAATTACTTTGGTGAACATAAACTACTCTCTCTATTGACTTGAGCATTGACCTATCTCTAAGTCTACACAATGCTAGCTATTGACATCCCCAGCAGGGATCAAAGGACAGACAGGGTGCCATCAGGAGAAGCTGTTATCTGCAGCCTTGAATCCCAGCTTGCTGGAATTTACAAGTGATACAACAGTTCTCCTTGGGCTCTGTGTATTGCTCCTGGCTTCCTTGGGACATTGGGCTTTTGTCTCATATCTATATTTCTATAGGCAAAGGAGTGACCAATAGAAGAAACAGTGGAAAAGACACCCATCTGTATGGCAAGGAAAGAAGCATTAGAAGTATTAGAAGAAAACAGGTATCTTGATCTTATCCTAGTAGCCTTCAGACCTATGACAAAATGCATTTCGGTTGTTTAAACCACCCAGTAGTATTTCGCTATGGCAACCCTAGATGTCTAATACAACAATTTATTCTACATTTATATAATTCAATGTATTACTGTACAGCAATGTTACCATATAACAGTAGAAATGGATTAACTATACAAATGGAGCAAGAAGGTAAATTGAAGCAGAATACATACCATATAGTTTTTTTTTTTTTTTTTTTTTTGGCAGAATCAGGGATTGAACTCAGGCCCTTGCACTTGCCAGGCAAGTGCTTATTCTACTGAGCTATCTCCCCAGCCCATATATCATATAGTTTAAGGCAGTTTATAAGAAGGCAATAGCACATAACATTTATAAGGCATACACATAAATTCTAAACATCTAAAAAAGTATGTATCAGGGGTAAATATCAAATTCAGGAAAGTGGCTTTCACCAGGTGTGATAACACACACCTGTATCTCAGTACCCTGGAAACCTTTGGTAAGAAAATTGTAAGTTCAAGCTTCATAAATCTTCATTTATGAAGATCTCATCTCAAAAATAAAATGAAGCTGGGAATGGTGTTGCACACATGTAACCCAAATGCTCAGGAGGCTGAGGTTGGAGTATCACCTTGAGTTTGAGGCCAGCATGGTCAACAGAGTAAGTTCAATTCCAGTCTGACTACATAGTGAGACCGTGTCTCAAAAACTAAAAAAAAAAAATTATAAAGTAGTGAGGAAGGCTGTGGGTTCAACCTAACAAGGTAAGCCCTCTCCTTCAAAGCAGTGACTCTCTAGTGTGATGGAACTTCTTGGTGTAGAGAAAGTATTCCTTCTTAGAAAGAAAGAGTAGCTGGGAAATGATTATTCTTCTTTATGCCTTTTTGTATGTATGATCTATTTTGTTGAATCTTTCTTCAGAGCAGTTGTAAACCAATAATATTGAGTTCTAATTCTTTTAAAACCAGAAGGGACCAGATGTGGTGGCACATGTCTGCGATTATACCACTTGCGAGGCTGAGGCAGGAGGAACATTGTCAGTGTGAGGCCAGCCTGAAGTACATAGCAAGATCCCATCTCAAAAAAACAAATATAAAAAATAAAACCAGAAGAGGTCATAGAAAATTTGTCTGCTTCACTAATTTTATTTTAAAGAATGAGACTTCAAGATTGGAAGAACTGTAATGTTCTGGTTTCTAGAAATACAAATAGCTTTGCTAGAACCTAGATTTCCTGTTTATTCATTCAACCATTTGAGTGCGATTCTTAAAGAAGGAAGTGGTGATCACTACGAAGCAGTTAAGGATCTTTAAGCCAATTTTATTTTCTTTTTAATAACGTTACTTAACTGGTAGAAAAGTGAACTGCAATAGTTACTATTTTTGTATAGGAAGTCACTGGAATGAAGTCTTACATAAACCTTGGGAAAGGCTGAAGAAAGGGCAACTGCTAACCTTGACAGCCTTGATGACTTTAGGTGAGCTCACTGGTGGTTTAAGGAGAAGATGAATGATCAATCAAATCAGTCTCAATCATGATGGGAAAAACTGTATTCCTAGTCATGTCTTATTCAATGTGTTTATCCAGGTTTCAAGTAGAGACAAATGAAATATGCTTATCTTTATTTTGCAAAATGTAAAGGTGAGATAATGTCTTTTGAGCCTCTGGGTGAGACTAACTGTATCTGGTTAATCATACTTTACCTGGACAGTCTGTCTCCTTCACAAGCCAGATCGCAGACCTTATTCATTTTGGAATCCTTTAGGTTGATGCTTGGCATATAGTAAGTGATCAACAAATACTTATTCATCTCATACTGAATTGAGAGAATCATAATTCCAAGCCTCCAGAAAAATATAAGAAGGGGCCTATAAGCTAACCAGGTACTATTTAAAATATGCAAAATAAATTCATTTGGAAATCCTTTTAAAAATGATTGTACAAAAGGAGAGGGAAACAGTTAACAGTCGTTCAGCTAAAAAAGCTTCTCTCTCACTTCTTTCAGAGGTGGTTGCTGCCTTCAAGCTCACGCAGGGGCTGTCGTTAACAGTTGTGAAAAGGTAAGTGATTTCTTCAGTTCCTTTACAGAACTCTGGATCTCCAAGGTGTGGGACAGTTGCTATTAGTAGAGCGATGCATGTTATTTCTTCCTCCCTCCTCCCCTCCCCTCCTCCTCCCTCTCCTTGTCCTTCTTCTTCTTTTTCCAGAACCTAGTGGCCAACCTGACTGGGGACTCTGACAATGTAAAAAAGGAAATAAATAAAAGATCAGGGTATTTTAACCTGCAGACCAATAAGAGAGAAGGTTAGGGCTCGAAACTGGAAGCTCTTTTCAAATAACTGGACATCCCCGACTCCTCCAAAAACAAAAACAAAAACAAAAAACCACACACACACACACACACTCTCACACACACACACCCCATCAAATACTTGGACAGTGTTCATATTGGAAATAATGGAGACTGACTTTATTTTCCAAAGTACGGAGCTAAAACCAATAGAAATTGCAAAGATACAATATCCTGAGTCTTAGGACCATCCTGAAATAAAAGAGACGAAGCATCTTTTTTGGTGGGCGAAGTAATGCCATCTGGCAGCGGCGGAGGTTGGCGGTCGGCCTGCGATGTTCCCTCGAGGCACTTCTGTAACACTAGGAGAGATTAAAGGCCCTGGTTGTGAACCACGTAAACTCCGTCTCACTGTTCGTTGAGCATTGACTACGTATCTTGTAGTTACTCTTGAAAGTAACGGCTTATCGCCCCCAGTTGGTGACAACACTGTAATTGCTGTTTCTCTTCTCCAGACAAACTCAGGGAAGTAGGGCGGATAAAATTACATTAAGGAAGAGAAGGAATGGCGAGAAGCAGAGTTTTTCCGAAAATCTGAAGGCCGACTGTCTATTTACAAAGACACGTGTAACTATCACGTTTGGTGAGCTCTCCAAACGTTTTCTGATGACCGCTCCGCTTCTTATTCAAATTTTGCGACTCTCTTTCGGACTCGGGTCTACTCTATGGTACAGGACTCAGTCTTTCTAGCTCTCTAGTCCTCCAGTTTTCCTATCTATGGTTTCCGGGAGCCTAACCGGAAGCTCCCGCATAGAACGGGTTTGGGAGGCCGGAAGTTGCGCACTCATTACTCGCCCTTTCAAAATGCCGCCGAAGCCTTAGGTCCCGCGACTGCCACCCCCACCCTGGGCTCCGAGGGGGTGCACCTCATGGAGCAGCCGTAAGGTGTGGCTTTAGGGTTTCGTCGGCGGGGTGGCGGGAGGACGGAAGCGGGAGGCGGTAAGCGGCGGGGCAGGCGCGGTGCCGTCAGCCCTGCGGGCTGCGGAGCGAGGAGCGGGCCTGAGAAGCCTGAGGCGTGGGGTGGCGGCGTGGGACGTTCGCGCCAGGCGGAAGGAGGGCTGGTGGGGGCAGGGTTGTGAGACTGGGCCCCACGGAAGATACAGAGGGAGTGCAGTGAGACCAGCAGTTTACGGACCTAAAATGGGCGCAGAATTTCAAGGAATGCCGATGAACTCTGGACGAAGAGTGTTGGGAGAGAGAGACGGGAGAATGACATCGACGGGTGTTCAGCTTTAGTAATTTTTAAGTGTCGCAGGCCGGTTCCCTCATTTCAGTTGTCTTTTGAATAAAGCTCGTTTTAGGTCCACACCCAGACTTCCTGAGGCAGAATTAAGGGGGGGGATGGGACTCAGGAAAGAGGTGGTTGGTTCACCTCCCAATGATTCTTGTACACCCTAAAATTTAAAAACCACTTTTTTTGGAGACAGTATCTTGTCATGAATTTCAGGCTGTCCTTGAGTCTTGGACAGTCCTGCCTCAGCCTTCCGAGACCCTATCCCCTGCTTGAAAACCAGTTTTAAAGCACACCCCCAGACCGTGCTACTTCCCTTTTCTTTTATGAGGAAAGAGCTCTGTTCTGAAGCTCCCCTAAGCCTTGGGATGTTACCACGTGGGACGAATATCTGTCAAAAAAGCTTGGAACCTTTTGGTATTAAGGGTTACTACTCAGGGTTTAGTCTCTTTCACATCATTACTGATAGGAAAAGGTATTTTAGTTGAAAGGTATTTATTTCACAATACTCTGTTTCGTCATACTGGTTGAGATTGCAACTCTTTAAGAAAATGCAAAATACACTAGTGTATTAATTTAGCAGTCCAGCAGCTCCAATGAATTCCCTCAGTTTAGCTGTTAACTGCTTGATTTAATATTCTGGGTTTTTCTACATATTGACAGTTTTAAACCATATAAGGATCATTTTGTATTGTTCTGCACCAAAAGTTTTCCAAATAACATGATGGATCATGTTTCATAACCTATACATATATTCCCAGGAATTTATATAATGTTAGCTTACAGCATTGTGCTGCAGTTTTTTATAACCTGTTTCCCCTTGGTGTATTTTTCGGTTATTTCCTGGCTTGTTTTGCAAATTGTACATACAACTTTTTTATGTGTTTAGCAAACCTGGTAAGAACTGGAACATCTGAATAGTAGTGTTTGTGTTTGCTGTTGTTTTTGTTGTACTAGGATTTGAAACCACAGCCTTTGCCCTAAGTTACATCCCCAGCCCTTTTTAACTAAATTTTGAGACAGAATTTTGATTAGTTGCCAATTTGTCAGGGCTGGGCTCAATCACCTGCCTTTTCCTCTCAGAGTGCTGGGATTACAGGTTTGTGTCTCCATGCCCATCTAGTACTTTGTTTTTCAAAGAAAAAATTACTTTCTCATGTATTCAGTTTAAAGACAAAGAATAGTTTAATTGAGTTCCTTTCAGCTGTTATGACTTATTAAGAATATTGCTTTTGCTGCCTTCTGGTAAGTTTTAATTTTAGTCTTAAGATTATAGTTCTCAAAAGTAGACATTTGAAGATGGCGTGTAAGAGGCTGTTGCACTAAGTGTAGGGTTAGAACTCATTCATCATCACTGAGAGACTAAGGCTGTTCCTGCTGGCTTCAGTCTAGTAGAGACACACACAAAAAACAATGTTTTGTTTTGTTTTTGCTGGGGCTTAAACCTCATGTGTGCTAAGCATGATCTCTACTACTGACCAGTAAGCTACACCCTTAGCTCCAAATAAGTGTTTTTAATGAGTTGTTCTGGTATTACAGCTTCTGTTGGGAGAGTCAGAAAAGCCTTACTAAGGAAGTGACTTTTGATAAAATAAGATTTTTTGAGGCATAGGAAAAAGAGAAAGGACAAGTGCTAAAGCAGTAACTTTCAGGTTTTAACCATGATTCCCAATGAAAAAAATGAATAAAAAATTTTCAAATAGTACATGTTTTCAAAAGTATGTAATGATTACATTCATTGTGGTAAGTTGCCACATAACATCTTATTCCCTCCCCTCTCTATTTCTCAGTCCCCTTCCCATCTGCAAAAGATGTGTTTCCCAAATTTTACATTGTAGGGCTGGGAAGATGGCTCAGTAGGATAAGCGCTTGACTGGCAAATGCAAGGATCTGAGTTCAATCCCTGGTTCCGCCAAAAAAAAAATTTAAGTACTTTGGGGCTGAGGAGATGGCTTAGTAGAATAAGCGCTTTCCTGGCAAGCACAAGGGCCTGAGTTCAATCCCTGGTTCTGAAGAAAAAAGCAAAAAACACCCCCCCCCAATTTTACACTGTGACTTGTTAATTACAGGAAAGTAGTGGTTAAGAGTTCTTGCTTCTGTAGCCAGAGTGCTTGGACTCCATGATTTTGGGCAAGTTATGTACCTCTGTTTTAGTTCTCTCTTCTGAAAATGAGGGTACTACCTCACAGGAGCTCTGTAAGAATTAAATGAATTCTTTTATTATAATGTGCTTTAAAAAGTGCCTGAACAAAGGAGCTTAACTATAAGTCCTGGTTACTACTATATAACAAATAGGCTGCATGTACACAAATTTTCTGTTCTGTTCTATTGCTCATAGAGGCATGGTTAGGCCAGTTGGAGTACAATTTGCAGTTTTAAAAGTTGCTACCAAAAACCAGCTTTTACTGGGTAGTAAAAGGGAAAGGCAGATTGATAGGACTGCATTCGTTTAGCATGGTGGGGAGTGTTAGAAGCCGAGACTTGCGGAGCACAATGATGGAAAGGAAGTTAGGAATAAATCAAGAAGGGTTATATACACGTCTAGTGAGGCATGATTGTCTGGAATTGGAATGAGGAAAGGACTTTCCTCCCATTTTTTAGGCTTCTTGGTTAGGCTGTGAGCTGACATAAGGCATAGGGAGAGAAGCTGTATTGTCTGCAAATGCACAGAAATCCTCAGACTCAAAGAAGGGTCAGATATCTGAGCCATGTATATTCTCAGTAGCAGGAAAGTCATTAGGCTTGGGATTTGGGGAAGTGATGAGAGCACAAGTTATGGGAAATGTGGGGAGAATTTTTTTGGCAGACAGAAGTCTTATGTAAATGAAGTTCTGGTAAGCAGAGATACTCTTCTGATAGAGATTGGTCTTCTGATAGAGGTGGGTCGGTTGGCTCTCCCTCCCCACTCCCCATGCACTGGGGATTGATCCTATGGCCTTCATAGTGAACTACATCTCTGGACATTCTTAGTTTTTGACTGTGTTCTTGCTAAATTGCCCAAGTTGGGCTAGAACTTGTGAGCTTTCTGACTCAGTTTCTCAGAGTGCTGGAACTACAGGTGTGTACAGTCAGATTGCTTTTTTAGACATTAGTTTCTTTTATGCAAGGACAGTTTTGAAAGCTACTGTGATGTCTCCAGTTTCTCAGAGTAACCCAGTTCAAAATTTGCCAAAGAAGTGAAAGACACAGTGAAAGCCTGTTGTCCTTGCTATTCTGGGAGGCTAAGGTGGGAGGATTCCATTAGTCCAGGTGTGTTTTTTTTTTTTTTTTTTTTGGTGGAACCAGGGATTGATCTCAGGCTCTTTTGCTTGCCAGGGAAGCACTTACTCCACTGAGCCATCTCCCCAGCCCCTGAGTCCAGGTGTTTAATGCAAGCCTGACAACCTAGTGAGACCGTTATGTTTTGAGATGATGTGTATTGAGCCCCCAACATTATTGAGTCAGCTGTCCAGGTTCATGCAGTATTCACCTTTGCTTCAAATGCCCTGGAAAACTAGGGGATTTTGTCTACTTGGGTATCCCTAGTTCTGTTGCACTGTGAAATGAAGTGGTGAGATTGGCTTCTATTTTATCCCTCTTGTGAAACATTATAACCTTGAAAAGAATCCTTTTGGGAAGACAGTACTGGGATTAAACTCAGGGCCTTTCTAGGCTAGCCATTCATTCATTCCCTCATTCATTTTGGTTTTTTGAGACAGGGCCTCCCTATGTAGTTTAAGCTGGCTTTGAGCTCACTACGTAGCCTAGGCTGTCCTTGAACCTATAACCTCTTGCCTCAACCTCCTGAATGCTGAGATAACTTTGTGTGTCACTATGCTCAGCTCAGTGTTTTATTTTTTGTGGTACTGGGGGTTGAACCCAGGTCCTTGTGCTTGCCAGGCATGCCCTTAGAGCACTGAACTATCTCCCCAGCCCTAGGCTAGATCCTTTTGAGAACAAGTAAATAACACTGCAGAAAGGACTTTTGTTGTCTTTCATTTTATTTTTGTTTTTATTATATATATATATGTAAAAATATAATTTTATTTTATTTTTTTTTTTGCAGTAGTGGGGATTGAACTCATCTGTTGTCTTTCAAAAGCCAGCAAATTCTTTTGAACTCTTTCTGCTAATCCCTAGGATTTAATGTGAGCAGGAAAGACACATTTCTAAGAAGCTGAGCCTATTAGTGGTAACAGTTTTTTTAATGTTATGTGAGTGGGATGTTTTCCAAGACTACCAGGTTTTTTTTTTTTTTTTTTTGCATAAGACAAGTAGAATTTTTATGTAATGTTAGATTTGCTGTGTGGCATTCAATAGGGTAGTTAAAACGTATTCAGAGCAATATTTAAAAAAAAAATGTGGGGGCCCTGGCCCTAGCTCAGTTCTTTAGGTGCCAGAGAGATGGCTCAGTGGAATAAGTGCTTCCCTGGCAAGCGCAAGGGCCTGAGTTCAATCCCTGGTTCTGGAAAAAAAAAAAAAAAAAAAAAATGTGGTACTAGGGATTGAATCCAAGCTCTCACACATGGTAGGCAGATATTCTGCCAAGGAACCTACAATCTCAACCTTTTAAATTTTATTTATTTATTTTTGCGGACCTGGGGATTGAACTCAGGCCCTTGCACTTGCCAGGCAAGTGCTTATTCTACTGAGCTATCCCCCAGCCCCAGCCTTT